TCTTGGCTCTGCCAAAAATCGTAAAATTTAGTGAAATGTAAAATATTCTTACCGTATTTTGGTAGCTGTATTAGTCAAAAGATGATTTTTCCATTTTATGAATCCCCTCCACCACCCCCAACCACTCTCAAGTCAGCCAAAACTGACAGGGTTCACGGCCTACTGGCATAGAATGTTTATACCAAATTTGAATAAAATTGTACACAAGAAAAGAATTTTTGCAACATACTTCTGGATTTTTGCCCACTGTACGTCGTCGAGAACTATAGAATAAAATTAGGGTCATCATCTAAATGTATCGGGTAATGGTAAATCGGTATATATCCAGATTTTATTTATCTACCCGTTAGGTTGGTTAGGTTGTTACTTTACCTACCGCCCATCAATCTCAAAAATGCTTCGTTTTGGAGATCGAGATCTAAGTTCAAAAAAATTCTCCAAAAAAATCGGTGCACACGCGCTTGTAATCACACAATTTTAGGTATGTCTCTACATTTTCACAAATCCTGTACATATACACTATTAAAATAGGGGACAAATATCATATTTAGAAAAACAAAATCTTTTAAATATTTAGCCAATTTGACATATCACCCATATTATTTTATACATTTTTAATTTAATTCTGATAATTTTCTTTTTAATTTTGAAGGTATTTATTTCAAGATGCTTTTCTGCCAAAAAAAATATTCCATATTTTTTAGAATTTATGCCACGTATTTTTATTATTTATAGATCAAGAATTAATTATAAGCAACAAAATGGGTTAATTATTATAAACAATCCTAACTTTAAATATCTATGCTGGTTAGTAATTTAATTACATATCTTTGATCTATTTCAATATTTTATATATATGTATATGACAGGAATTAAAAATAGCAATAAAACTAATATTTTCCAAATAGAATCCCAATACGAATTAATGTTTAATCTCGAAAAAATTTTGGTTGATCAAGACTAGATAAAGCTTTGTCGTCAGTAAAACGATATCTATATATAGAAGCGTACTATACATTTTGTTTCATTATAACTTTATCACTATATCAGTACTATATGTAGACATACAGTGGTTTTCCAGGGATCTCAAATATAAAATACACATTTTTTAAATTATTGAGTAAGTTTTGTTTTGATTTCTTAATTGGTGTTACTAATTTATCAGTTATTGAAAAAATAATCGAAGTTTGAATTGCTAATTTTTCTTATCTTTGTAGTGATTCAATTGAATATGTGTACTTTCTGGGAATACGTATACATATCTTAACTCAGTTATTAATTTTTGAGTCAACAAGTATCAAAATTGTAAACATATTTAAGGAGTGTGTCTAGCCATATTTAATTATCAATGTTCGAAAAACATTTTAAATGAAATAAAAAATAGTGTTAAATACTAAAAAAGCTAAAAATATTAAGACGTGGACTCCTGGCAACTCCTGGTTGACTTTTAACGTAATCTAAATTTGCATTTGCAATATACAGAGTGAGTCTTAAATAAGTGCAAATATTTTTGTGGGTAGTATATTATTTCGACCCCAGGAACATGATGTTTATGAGGTTTTTTTCGCGATTTTTTTTGGAAAATTTGGAATTTTTTGAAAAAATCTTTTTTTTTTATTCTTTAGCTGCTTGCAATGTATACTATGATTAAAAAAAATAAGCACTGGTACAACATTGTGAAATAAAAATAAATTTCAGTCTATTGCTTTATATAAAACTTGAATATGTGTTTTAGTTTAAGTAAACTTTTATAATAAATGTGGCTCTAACTTTAATAGGACATCATCTATATTTTATAATAAATAACTTTTTTCAACTTTATAGAGTTTCATTTTAATTCTTTTAAAAAATAGTTTCACATTTATGTATCCCGAGATGTATCCAAATATTTTGAACACAGCAGGGCATGAAGATATACAGGGTGAATATTAAATAAGTTCAAATATTTTTAGGGGTAGTATATTTTGACCCCACAGTAGTAGTATTTCGAGCCCCAAGAGTAGTATATTTCGAAGCACATCTATAAAGTTTTTTTTACAAACAATTTTTTGGAAAAATTTCGAATTGTTTGAAAAACACTTTTAGACTTTTTTATAATTTTTAGTTATTAAATTAAATATACAGGAAAAGATTCAGGGTGCATCCACACTATCCTAAAAACGGCGTATCGGCGTAACGGCGTAACGACCTTGATCGATTTCCAGTAATTCTATTGGCTGAAAAATTCATCTGTCAGAAATTTTATCTGTCAAATTCATCTGTCAAAAATTTCAGCCAATAGAATTACTGGAAATCGATTCAAGGTCGTTACGCCGTTACGCCGATACGCCGTTTTTAGGATAGTCTGGATGCACCCTCAGTGGTTCTCAAAATTTCAGCAAAAATTATATATGTTTTTAATTTTCAAAGTGAAATAACTCGGTTATTTTGGTAAAGAGAAAACAATGTTTTTTTTTATCGAGATCTACAAGCCCTAAAAAATTTGAACTTATTTAAGACTCACCCTGTGTATATAAAAAATCTATTTTAAAAAATAATAATTTATGAAATATTCGAATATTTCAAATATAAACTTTATAGTCACAATTTTATATTGTGCTATTTTCAATCTGTCAATGAGACATAATAAAGAAATTATATTTATGGACTTATAATTACATAGATAACAAAAATTATCAAAATTCTTTATCTAAATCTTACGGAATAATAAAGAATATTATAATTTATGCTGTAAAGTAAAATATCTCAATAGAACGTTGAATTCAGATGTTAAAAGTAGCCAAATATTACGAAAACCTCACCAGTTACCAGTAACGAGATCAAACTGGTTGTTTTTTATTTTTAAACTCTATAGAAATTTTTTTTCAGTCACACATTCAATTTCAGTGTTGTGTAAAATCGTCCGATAATATGTATGTTTGTTATTTTTATTCATAACCGAACGCGATAATAAATTTTATTAATATAGTAAGTCTGTTATATTTATTTTAGGATTTTTCCATACGATGATATTGCTCTACCAATTTTGAAGAAAGTCTGACAATTCAATTAGTCCAATTTCTCAAAGAGAACATCCAAAGTTCCGGTACTTGATGAGAAATCACAGGAATAAACGCATCTTGTCTACAATTCCAAACATCCAAATAGGACGCGATCCAAAACTAAATTTCCAAGGCTGGTCCAAACGCTGGATTAGAAGCTCCAAGCTGTTTAGTTTATACATTATACCAGTCAATTGAATCGAAAAAAATTGAAAAAATCGACAATAATTATTTTTGCCTACTACGAAAAGGTATTAATAGATCATGGAAACCAGCAAACGTGCACCTACAGTATCCATGTCTGCAGTGGTACCTTCCTTAGAACCTTTGCCAGCTTCGAGCTGCGTTGTGCCAATTGACAAGGAAAGAAATGATCTGAAAATTGAAAGGAACACTCTTTCAAGGTCTTCGTCTATAAGTTCAGAAGATGAAGATAAACCTGACATCCCTGATGGAGGATGGGGATGGGTTGTTGTTTTTGCTTCGACTGTTCTCTCTATGATTGCTGACGGAGTTGCATTTTCCTTTGGATTACTTTACGTAGAATTTCTTGAAGAATTTGGTGCTTCTAACAGTGCCACTTCCTGGATCGGAAGTTTATTCATGGCAGTACCACTTCTAACAGGTCCAATAATGAGTGGCTTGGTTGATAAGTTTGGATGCAGATGGATGACAATCGTTGGGGCCCTGATATCCGCTTTAGGGTTTATAATTAGTTCAAACTGTTACTCTTTAGGAATTATGTACCTTACCTTCGGAGTTCTATCAGGTTTAGGACTGGGGTTAATTTACGTAACCGCAGTGGTATCGATAGCCTTTTGGTTTGATAAAAAACGCACATTAGCTGTAGGATTGGGAGCCTCGGGAATAGGAATAGGAACATTTGTGTTTTCACCATTGACCACCTTCCTAATCAACAAGTACGAATGGAGAGGAACCACTTTAATTCTAGGAGGTTGCTTTTTAAACATGTGCATCTGCGGAATGCTCATGAAAGATCCAGATTGGCTCATTGAACAGAACAAGTAATTTTAAATTTTATTATTATTGCAATTAATAAGATACTAATTTTCTTATCTTACAGAAAATCTTCGAAGAAATCACATAAATCCAGTAAAGCTAGTTTAGAGATGACAACATTTTCACAGAGCCCTGCTATTAATGTTGAAAAACTAAAACATATATTAACAAGTGGAAAAGATGTTGAATTTCTGTTACATACAGTGGAAACAACTGTAGAAAATAACGAAGAAAAAGATAAATTACAGAAATATTTTACATCCACTCTGAATTTACCAACGTTTATCAATGAAAACGAAAAGGTTTTGTTTCTATATTTTTAATAATTTTGTGATACTAATAATTTTGATTTTAGATTCCGCCAGAAGTTTTGAAACTTTTAACTGAAAACGATGTTATTCAACAGTATTATCCTAGTTTATTTTTAAACAAGCCTAGCTCAGTTCGTCGGTTAAATAGTGTTGAAAATGGCTCCAAATATGTTAATCCTAATTCTTTCAAAGAAGCCAAATCTCAATGGTCCGATTCAAAACAAGTAATTACAAAAATATTATTCCAATGTATTTAATTCTAATTTTCTTGCAATTTTCAAGGTATCGTTGCCTGAACAAGATGAGGCATTGCCCCATGATCCTTTATTACATGGGAAACATTCTAAAGCACCAAGACACTCCTTGAGTAAGAAAGGTGCAGTTCTTGGTACTAATCGTTGGGCATCTTCTAGTTGTCCAAACATACACAAAAGTTCTATGAAAGCATATTCTGTTGAAAAAGACGAAGAGGTTAGTGCCAATTTATTACATTTCTAAATAATAATATTTATTATATATTTGGTTGAAAATGATGATTAATAATTATGTCTCCAGCATTGTTATACATTTACCAAAAGTTCTAGAGACTGTTGTCAATAGAGATGTTAACGAATTAAACTTTTTTTTAGAAATGGTACGACGAATTAGTTGAGTTAGTAAAGGGCATGTTCGACTATTCTTTGTTCTTAGAATTACACTTTTTCTTGTTATCTTTATCGACTATAATCCTTTTTGTTTGGTTTATAGTGCCGTATTTTTATGTGGCAGAGCTTATGCTTAAGCATCAATACACCAACGAGGATGCTTCATTTACAATATCGAATATTGGAATTGCTAGCACTATTGGAATGGTATGTATAATGTGATCTAGAAAATAGATCTTAAGAAATATAATGGTAATATCTATGAAAAACCTTTTTCTAGCAGTAATTCATTAGCAAATAGGTAAAATATTGTTACTGATTCCGTGGGTTCCTTAATTCCAAACACACGATAAAGCACTTAACCGAATATATTTTCCAACTATATACTCTATACTACTTAAATTTTTAATTACTTAAATTTTCATTCGAGAGCTCTGTAGCATTCTTTTTGTGTCTAGAAAGTTCTTTACAACATCCGGGATTTTCCACTTTTGTCCTAGAGATGGCGCGCTACTAAATTCCCGAAAGATGTGGCTCTTCCGACAGATGTCGCCATACCCCTTGACAATATATAGTCCGTCTAGAAAGTATCCGGAAAAAAGAAAGCAAACTTACAATTATCGATATATATTTTTAGGACTTGAGTTAAAAAAATTATAACAAATTATTAATTGTATTTACTTATACAACCTCCATTTAACTCCAAACACTTTAACTAAACGTCCAGGTACACCCGAAACTGGTCCACGCCATAATGTTCAGTGGCGGTAGTCCAAGCTTGTAAACCTGAGCGAATCAAATCTTGTTTATTTCGTAGAGCTGCTCATTTCACTTCAATCTTCATTAGTACCAATATGTTTTTAATAGGACTAAGGTCTGGTGAAGCTGCTGGCTATGGAATTGTTGCCAAATGGTATTCTTGCATCCAAGCTTGAGTAGTGCTTGGATGCTTGAGCGTGAGATGTAGTGTCAGTATGCTTGAGCGTGAGACGTATGGCATCTTGCATTATCCTGCTGAAATCGCCACCCCTCTGGATATAAAACATGAGCCGTTTCAAGAAGAAAACCATTTAAAATATCACAATATTTTGCACTATTAACAGTTCCATCAACTATACACAGAGGTGTAGCACCACGCTGAGATATTGCTTCCCAAACCATTATTTTAGTGGGAAATTTTGAAACGTGAACGGTAACATTTTCTTTTGATAGGATTTTTAGGTGGTTTCCACCAAGCTGGAAACAACTTTCGTCAGAAATAAAAACATTATTAAAATTATCTTCTTGAAAACGTTGACAAAAATCCATTCTTAGCTGCCTTTGTAGAGGTGTTATTGCAGGATTTTTTTTGGCTTCCTTGATATGTAGTCTTGTCTTTCCAGTGACATGCGGACGGTTACTGGACACACTTTTAATTTTTGCAGACTTCCAAATCTGTTAGCCAATTTGCGAAATCCTAGGCGCGGATTCTGTCGTCCTAATGCCACTAAAGCGTTTAAATTGTTTTTGCGAATCTTACGCGGTCTTCCTGAAACTGGTCCATGCTTCATATCTGTGCCATTTTTTATCCTCTTTATTGTCTCATATATTGCACTTTTTCCGAGTTCAGTCAACTGCACTAATTTTCTAACGTTTCAAACACCTTTTCTATACAAATATTCCACCATTTCTCTTTTTTTACTTATAACATTATTTCTCAAATCTTAAGCCGGTTTACAAGCAACAATATTGCGATTTTGGTCATAGCCTACTACCTACGTGATGGATTACTGTTGTCTTAGAGTGTTACAGAAAAAAATACATTAAAATTGGGAAAAATATAAAATTCCTGATACTTTCTAGACGGACTATATTATGTAAATCGGTCACTCTTTGTGACAAGTTTACGTGAAAAAAATCAAATAGAATAAAAAGACACTCAGTTCACTCAAGTCCACACCAGAAATTTCTTAAAAAAAATTATAAAATAAATTAACATAACTGAGCATGGGCACAAAAGAAAATTGAAGATTATTTTCAATGATTACCTATAATAGTTTCCTACAGACTAATAATATTTATTGACTCCTCATTCAACCATAATTGGAAAATTTAATTTAAATAACAATAATAAACAATATACATTCACAACTTGCTAATTAAATAGAACGCTAAAATTATTCTGAAATCCAGGCAGAATAAAATGCAACCCAAAATCACCTTAAATATACCATAAAATTATATTTTTTAGATATTTTTCGGTTGGGCTGGTGACAGACCATGGATGAATATAACCAAGACATACGCCATCAGTCTTGTACTATGCGGAATATCGATAGGAGGAATCATGATGTTTGTTGAAAACTTTATTGTAATGCAGATATGTGCTTCAATGTTTGGTTTCTTTTTGTCCAGCCATTATTCCTTTACACCGGGAATTTTGGTAGAAATGGTACCACTGGAAAGCTTCACCGTTGCATATGGTTTGCAACTGTTATGCATGGGTATCGGTATGCTACTGGGACCACCATACGCAGGTACTTTAATGCTCTTTTTCTAAACATCATTTGAAATACTTAAACATCGCTTTGATTTTTAGGACTTTTATATGACATAACAGGAAACTGGAAACAGTCATTCTACCAAGCTGCAGTTTGGACTATACTTTCTGGTATATTTATTGGACTGATTCCTTACACTAAGAATAAGAAAATGATTGGAAAAGGACCAGTTGAAAAAGAAATTGAAGATTCTGAGAATAGGGCTCTTCCTATAATACTTCAAGTTCTTATTATGTTGGCCTTATGCATTCTTTTAGCATATATGACTGGAGTTGCTCTATTATAAATATATACATTATATATATATATATAAAGATTTTTTGTACACTTCTGATAAATTAAACTACATTTGCACAAAAATAAATTTATTTCCATATAGACAAAACTAAGGAAATGTTAATAATAAAAAAATATTTTGATGAAAAGAAACATGTAAAAAATACAATAGAATACAGAGTTATACAAGCCTAGATAATATAGAGTTATACAAGCCTGGTCAAACTAAATTTGTAGTCTGGATAAGTTATCCTAATAAAAATTAATTATGTTAAAAAGAGACAAAAATTAGGTTGGTATTATTTATTCTTATAGCATATTTAACTAGAGTTGCTCTGTTATTAATAAAATGCTAGTAGTAAATATAATGTGTTTCTGTTAGTTGATTCAGTAACATATAGAATGAAATAATCTTAAACATTTATAAATTATATGAATTTTCAATATAGAAACCAAACAGGAATATTTTTAATTAATAAAACTGCTTAGTTAACTTAAATAATCCTTGTTTATTTTGTATATTCTCAGAAGAATCGTCTACTGAAGTATGAACAATACTAGACTACATATTAATCTGTCAATACTTATAATAATCTGATATAAGCACTTTAAATCATTGCTTTGATGCTAAACGTCTTTCAGGAGAAAAAAATGTTTTTAAAATTTTGAAAATTATTAGATTAGTTAAATAGCATCTAAGAAAAGGCTTAGGTACTTCAGTTAAATACTTAAAACACCCAAAAAAATCTATTGATATACCGTCGACCTAGATATAGGAAATCCCACGTAAATTTTAAACATGACGAATAAACGTTTTCTATTTTATTTTTAGATAAGCTTGTGCGAAACTCCCTAGTGAACTCATTAAAATTAAGTAAATTAGTTATTACAAAGCATTTTTTTAGTTACAAAAAACAAATATTACCAAATTTTAAACATCATGAAAAATATTATATTAGATATGGTTTTCTTCTTCTATGCAGGTCCACTGAGATTAAAGGCGCGTTTACAGGTTCAAGTGTATTGATCAAGTCACTTGAATTCAATTCGCATGAATGCATTATGACCGTCTAAACTTGACAAATCATGTTAATTGAAGAAAATTCTGGGAAATTTATTAATATTTATGAAAAATATGAATGCATATGGAATATAACAGCCTGAAATACTAAATTAGTTAAAGAAGAGTAAATTCTAGATTAAGCTGTTTCTAGCTTAAACCAGCCTAAGCTTTCTAGCCAGTTTTTTTTAGCTTTTTAGCTAACAAATAACGTTACGCATTAATGTGTCTTGTTTTTTAAGTTCCATTTGCTTTTCCAACTTTTTCCAACAAAAAATGACAGTACTGTCGACAGTATCTGAGACGGCTCCGTCAGGCTCGTCAGGGACTAGTGCACCATCTCCGATATCAATCGTACGGATCAGACGTTGAGGCGCACTCAGTGATGAGGTGTTCCGATGTTTCCCCATTTTCCCTACAGAATCTGCAGTCGCCGTTATTTCTTAGCTTCGTTCCTTTTAAAGACTAGTGTTACATAAGACAAGAATTCTTGTTTTTAAAATCAATTTCTTGTCTTGTCTTGAAATTCAAGACAAGAAATTTTCCAAGTCTTGTCTTGCAGATTTATTGAATGGCAAAGTCTTGTCTTGTCTTGCAAGACTCTTGAAATTTCTTGTCTTGAAAAAGTTTACATTCTAACAAAAAGGTAATAAATCGTATACAAAATGTAATATCGAAAAATGAACAACAACGATGCTAATTTTAGTAAAAAAATTTAACGGGCCGCAAACGAACTATGTCAACTCGCCCGTTTGACGAAACAGGAGCCATTACCAAATAAAAGCTGAATAATAATAAGTAAAGTTAAGTTCAATTCATGGGTTTTGGGTTATTATTTCGTATCTAACCTTGTGCTTTCATTTTTTACTTCTAGTTGTTAATTCTTGTTAGTTTATTTATGTTCTATTTTGGTAACCCGTTTGTTACTTTTATTTTTTAAGGTATTTATTTTATTTATTTATTATGGAAGATTGGTTGGAAAAGTCTGGACACAGGGTGTACGGAAAGGTCATGCTAGAGTGTACTATTTGCGCTATTTGATACTACTTTTTGTTCGCGGAGCAATTTCGTGCATGAAAAGTAGTACCGAATAGCGCAAATAGTGTGCTTCACGAACCAACCATTAGTTTGAACTACCGTTAGTATTTTTTTATAATACCATTATACCAATATAATTTTGTGTATAAAACCAATTACCAATATACGGTTTGTTGCCTCGACTTTATTTTATTTCATTCTCAACTCTAAAACACTGGCTATGATAGAAAAAAAAGGAATACTTGTCGATATTAATGCCGGGTTTATACAACATTTGCATAAATCGTAATCATAATCACAGTCTTAATCATCGTCATAATCACAACGCAATTTCAATGAGCGTTTATAGAACATTTTCATAATTTTTATACCAGTGAAGTTGGGTAACATAATTGAAGGCTAAGTTCATGGTAGATGTCAACAGGGTTTATAAGAAGTGGATAGTTTAACTTTTATGATTATGACTATGATTTTGATTACGACTATGTAAATGTTGTATAAACCCGGCATAACTTGCTCAAAGACCTAATTATCACTTAAAAAGATGTATCATTTCTAACTTTCAGGAAATCTTGAATTCAAGAAATCTTGCAAGACTCTTGAAATTGCTTCCACCATTTCTTGTCTGGTCTTGAAATTATGAAAGTCTTGTCTTGAATTTCTTGCAAGAGTTTTAAGTAGTTAAGTTAGTAATACTCTTGTGCAACACTATTAAAGATCCCGTGACAATCCGAACATTGTTCTTACTTAAATCAAGGAAAATCTTTGACTTTTCTCTGTCGTAAGTTCTGAGAAATTTCTTCGAGTGTCTTAGACCGTTGGAAGATTCCCATTCCAGGTTACGGATGGGGTCTTCCAGGTTTTTGAGTTCCACTTTACGTTGGGTTTCACTTGGCAAGCAGAACGGTTCTGGTCCAGTTAGTCGAGTGTTCGCTCCTTTTCTAGCTAGAGTGTTTGCTTTTCCATTGCTTTCTATCCCTTGGCGAGCTGACAACCAGTAGGTAGTACTGCGGCCATTTTCTGATCCACTTCATTTTTTTACGTCTTGGTTTTTTTACGTAATAAATTTTCTGTTTATTCTTTTGCCATAATTTTGGCAGTTTGAAGTACAGTTACAAACCTAACCTTCCGCACTGACATCATTTTAAATCAACTAATAGAATATTTTTGACATGAAATGTGTGAATTGGGGATATGTTTTCAAATCAGTCGAATTCAAGTGATTTAATCAATTCACTTGACTCGTGAAAACGAGCCTTATACCGGGTGCGTCTCAAAAGTGGCTTACCCCTATAACTTTTTTATTTTTTTAGTTAAAAAACGAGATTTGGTATGTTAGTAGTATATGACATAAATTAGAGTTGATTGACTTTTTCAATTATTTTCGGTCACTTCCTGTTTCACCGGAAATGACTATAACTTTTGATTTTTAAATGGCACCCTCGGTATTTTTTTACTTTATTCGATAGAAAATAACACTCTGAATAGAATGACCTATAATATGTAACTTTTGATATTTTCGCATATGGTTTATTTGAAATTATAACAAACAAACAAACAAACAAACAACGCTTTATTGTACAAAAAGCCAAAACAGCTTCATCGACAAAGCACTCACAAACAACAAAATCACAAAAAAAAAACAAACAACAAAAAATACACAATACAAATAATACAATTCAAAAAAATTTAAGTCTTTACAATTACAAAAAGAATATATATGGACAATTTTAGAACAGTACGCAGTAAATAGATATAACTTTAGAGTTACAAAATATTAAATACTTGACCTTTGACCAGTGTGTGAGATGATTTTAAAATTCAAAATTGTTCATAATTAAACATCAACAAAAAAGTCGTTTACCGCATATAGGGCTCTCTCCAGTAGGTATGATTTTAGAGCTTTGCGAAATGCGGGAAAGAATGAAAGCGACTTGATATTCAAAGGCAGATGATTGTACATTTTTTTGGCATTGTACAGTATTGAACCATTAACTAGTTCTGAGCTCGAGGTTGGCAGATAAAGATCGTACTCTGCATTCCTAAGTGGATAGTTATGAAATGGCCTTTCGGGAATAGCAGATATATGCTTGCGGATTAAGCAAATGGATTCAAAAATGAATAAAGAAGGAAGAGTCAGTATTTTGAAATTTTTAAAGAAATTCTGGCAGTGTGTTCTACTGTTCAGTCCCAATAAATATCAACTAACTGTTACATAACTTATATAATAAATATAATAAATATAATAAATAAATATAATAACAATAAATATCAACTAACTAAATATTAACTTGTGGTTCATAACGAAAATTTGACTCAAAATACCAAGTGTGTGGTACCAAATTATTTGTAAAAAAATTCTTTTTCCAAATATGCTAATGAGCCACCCCCGTTCCATTTGAAAAAAATGAGATATGATTAAAAATACGATTTCAGCATTTTCTAACTGGCCAAGACAAGACACTAAAAACATTAGACGATCAAGTCTATTTTTCCAAGGCTCCTTGATGAAGAATTAGTGTTTTTAACATAGCCATGGGACTCTAGAATTTTAAAATACGATTTTTTATTAAGGGAGAATGTCAAAAGTTGACATATGATATTTCATTCTATTCAGAATGTAATTTTCTATCGAATAAAGTAAAAAATACTGAGGGTGCCATATAAAAAACAAAAATTGTAGTCATTTCCGGTGAAACAGGAAGTGACCAAAAACAATTGAATACGTCAATCAATCCTAATTTATGTCATATACTAACACACCAAATCTCGTTTTTTTATCTGAAAAAATAAAAAAGTTATAGGGGTGAGCCACTTTTGAGACGCACCCGGTATAAGTAAATAAACTTACTAAAGAAATACACTTTAAATATGATATTATACACACACTAATTTAAAGTTGTCTAGAGCTGTCTGTGTATTATACTATCATTAAAAACTTGAACTAAATCAAATTAGTTGAACATTCAATTATAAACGAAGGAGCTGCAAGAATAAGCTGTAATACAAAATAAAAGAAACAAAATAAATAACATTAAAAATGTCTGCGACAAATTTATAAACCATCCGATATTCTATTCTCAATTATATTATATTCGTTCTGTAAACATATACGCATGGTTCCAACGAAGTACTAATTTATCCTGAAAGCGCTAATACGTATGACACCATCGCTTTATTAATAACTGTTATATTCTCTCACCTGATACCATTCCACAAAACAAATTCACTAATTTTCTCCTTAAAACCTTCCAATATTATTTTATCTTATCGAACCCGGCCAAATATTAAGGATTAGGCCGCCGACTAACTCCTATACTATCTTATCGATTGGCGCATTTTCCAACTTTGGCAGAATTGAATTATGTTTATTTAGTGAACGATTATTTAACAATTTCGTTATTGTCAATATTAAAAAAAAACTCAGTCGTTCAGTATGGGTTAATGATACAGTTTGAAACAAAATTTCAACACCATGAAGGAATATACAAACTTGCAAAACGGTGTGAAACATCGGGAGTTGAGCAGAGAATCCGTGACTAGTGCTTTTCATTTGACAGTGCCAACTAAAGAGACTTTGTTATCTTCGAAGATCAGTCTGTATGTTGAAGAAACCAAACCAAAAATTCCTGACGGTGGTTGGGGTTGGATTGTCGTAGCTGGCTGTTTCTTCATCAACTTAGTCGCTGACGGTGTCGGGTCAACCTTCGGATTACTCAACGTGGAATTCCTCAACGAATTCAAAGCCTCCAACTCAGCAACATCGCTCATCGGAAGCTTGTTTCTTTCCGTACCTCTTTTACTCGGACCTTTAGGAAGTGCTCTGGTTGACAGGTACGGATGTAAATACATGACAGTTATCGGCAGTCTCGTGTGCAGTGCGGGTTTTATAATCAGTTCCTACGTCAGAAACATATGGCTGATGTACATCGCCTTCGGCCTGATTAGCGGGGTGGGATTTTGTTTCTGCTTTGTGACGGCTGTGGTCTCGATCGCTTTCTGGTTCGAAAAGAAGAGGACGCTGGCTCTGGGTATCGCGGCCAGCGGTACCGGGCTGGGTACCGTGATATACTCGCCGTTATTGACGTATTTGATTAAGGAATACGGGTGGAGAGGAGGGGTGTTGATAATGGCCGCGTTGTGCGCGCATATGTGCGTTAGCGGGTTTTTGATGAGTGACCCGGCTTGGATTATTGAGGAAGAAAGGCAAGTAAAAGTAACGTATGATCGAAAAAAAAAACAACCGATGATTTTCCATACAATTTGATTTAGAAATTGACAACGATCATCATTTCCAAACCATCTCTGACGATGATATTTTTTGATCGTATATTATTTCAACCCAATTTTAATTGTTTGTATGTGCCAAATGAAAAGCAATACATATTGCCACGGGGTAAGGAATCTTCAATTGCTCTTATCTGGTATTGTCTATTTTCAATATTGAGAAACATTGTTTACCTTTTTGTTTATATACATATATTGTTAACTGAAAACAGTGTTGTGTGTTGTGTGAATAAGTTAGCCTTATCTGTTATGGTATTTTACATGTTAAATATTTGCATTATGTAGACCGGATACCAAACTATAAAATCTCTTTGAGAAACTTTAGTAACAGTGTGTTACAGTTTAGTATTATATTCTCAAAAATACCTCCAATTTTTATGCAAATCTCTCATTTTTAGATCAAAGCAAAAAAATGTCAAAATTGCATTGCAGTGCCATCTCCCATAGGAAGATTCGTCACAGACTTATTTGTTTAAGGCTATTTTTTTGTCTAAAGTATTATTTTTTTTCGATTTATTATAATTTTCTACCAACTGCTTTTAGGGATTCGAATGAAATTTTGAGGGTAAAAGTACTATAAGTGCTACACATTTTAGGGCTAAAAAGTATCGACAGATTTACCAGGGAGGTGCAGTAAATAAGACATAGTAGAAAAAAGGCTCAAAGTCTCGGTCTCAACGTTTATACAATGTTAAACTGTTACACGTGTTTCGCTCATATACGAGCATCATCAGACCTAACAAGAAAGAACCTAAATAAATAACAAATAATAAATAATAATTGCTTCTTTCTTGTTAGGTCTGATGATGCTCGTATATGAGCGAAACACGTGTAACAGTTTAACATTGTATTGAACTTTTTTCTACTTTTTTAATTTGAACCAAGTCTCTTTGAGAAAAATGGATGCCTTCTTTAAATAAGACATAGCATGGCAACACCGCATAGTGTTTTAAGTAACAATAGTGTACTAGATGCAAAATTGTATGCTGAACCCCATGAGGATTCAAGTTTAAAAAACACTATGTCTACAACAGAATTCTAGGATATGTAACATTTCCATGATAATATAAATGTAGCAGGGTTGCAACATTTATATTAAAAAATATATTTTTGTCAACAACAATGATATTGGACTTATGTTCCACCCCGTATATGTATATTTAAAATAACTATTATATTTAGGCGCGAACGAGTTTTAAAAGCAGCAAAACGCAAGAAGGAAATGGCGAAGAAGAATTTTGAAATTGAAGATATTGAAACGCACATACCACCAAAGAAAGGTATTAAACACAGTACCTCATTAATACAACTACCTACATTTTTACAGGAACACGAAAAGGTTAGTGATTTTATATAAAAAATATCTCTCTAATAAATAATATTTATATCCTTGTGGTAGAATCATGACTTTAATATTGGTGAAGTATTATCATTAACAAATAATCCTGAAACTAAAAATGAATTTTGTAAAATGCCAGTGAATTTACAACAGACGCTTAATTTCTCACAGTAGCTATTTACTTTAACAGCAGTTTTCATAACGGCGATTAAACAATCAAATATTTTAACAAATTAAATGTAATTAGAAGAGATTGATTATCCCCAAACTATTGAAACAAGTCTCCTAATTTTTATTAGACATTATTTTAAATTAACTTCATACATTAATGAATTGTACCTACCACAATTCCATATAACATAAAATCAGTAAAGATTTTATGTTATTGACACGGTTGACACGGTCAAAATGTACTTGCATCAAATACGCTTGGATGCTGCGCGCGTCTCGCTTGGAGCAAGGATTCAAGGCAAGATTACAGAGATCAAGTCTACTTGTACCAAGTACACTTCTTTTTCCATAACAAGGGGCCATCCTCTGCCGGAAACACTGCGACCTGTGAGGCCTATTGTATATTGGCCTATTGTGTTAGGCTAGGTTGTCACTTTTCTATATCTGCACCCATTCTCCTATCCCTGTGCCCTGCACTAGCTTATGCAGGTCCTTGATAGAATGGGAGCATAGTTCCTCCGGTTCTAACCTAGATTTCCCAAATAAAAAGTGTCGCTTGCGATCCAGAGCCTCGCAATGCCATATTATCTGCTCCGCTGTTTCAGAATCTTTATCGGAGAATCTGCATCAACTTTCTTGATACAGGTTGAGCTTGTTCAGGTAACACTTGACAGCCATGTGTCCTGTCAACAGACCTGCTGTAATCCCCACTTTATTCCTGCTAAGCATTAGCAGTTCTTTTGCGGTTTTAGACCTAGGTCCTTGGATAAAAGCCTTGCTGTGCCTCTGCCCCTGTCTGTGTCTCCAATGCTTTGTTTCAAAACATTCTGCTTTTCCCTGATCCAAAGGTTTAATCCACTATGGGCCATACATTTGGGTATACCCAATACTGGCTCTGGACCAGGATAGGATGCCGATGATCCCTGCTTAGCTAGCTCATCGGCTTTTTCGTTGCATTGGATGCCGCTGTGGCCCTGCATCCAGAATCATTTAATCCTGTTCCTTCGTGCCACAACTCCCAGTTCGCCCAGGCATTCTCAGACAAGTCTCAATGATACCTTTGGGCTCATAAGCGCGCCAAGTGCCGCCTGACTATCTGAGCATATATTGATGAGCTTACCTGAATAAGTTCTTCTATTATTTTCTCTCGCCCCAAGTACACTTGGAAGCTACCATATAACTGTACTTATAATATCTAATGCTGCGCGCGTCTCACTTGTACGCTGCATGTGTAGTATTGTTTTATCCAAATCGAGTTGGAAGGCTTTTCAACCTCAAAGTAAGTAGGCTGGCAGCTAAATTACAGACAGGCTGGAAGCTAAAATACAAACAGCGTAAAAGTGAGACGCGCCAGAATTATATTTATATGTCAGTATCCGGTTGACTTGGTCCAAGTACACTTGGACCATCTCAACCGGTTAAAATCGACTGATAGGATCCAAAGGGCGTCCAAGTCAGAGGCGCGCAGTGTCCAAGTGTATTTGATCCAAGTAGACTTTGATCATGGTAATCAAGCATAAGAATAAGTAACCACAAACTAAAAATATTATTGGAGTTTCATATCTATAATTATTTAACTATTTTTAGGTTTCGCTGGAAGTGCTAAAAAAATTGAGCGAAAATAAGAAGTTGTATAATATTATCCTCGAAAACTATCCTAATTTACTGTCCTACAAGAGTGCATCTGAGACGATATTTCCATCAGAACAATCACTCCAAGATCTCGATGCAGTAAGAATCAGGGTACCTGTTGAATTTAGCATGAAATTAAAAAATGTTGACACACAAGGTTAGAATATAAATAGGCTTTAATCAGCTTCCATGACTTCTAATTATATAGTATTCCTAGAATTTGATAAAAATCTGATTTATTATATTTTTTAGTATCACCAATTGGTACAGAAGAACCATCCAGAATACCATTCTTCAGAAGCGACTCGAAAAAAAGGAGACCATCTCAGTCACAACAGCAGCAAAACCGTCATAATTATTTAAAAAATATGAAAGTGCAGAAGTCAAACTTGGGATACAGAGGAGCCATGTTGAATATTCATAAATACAAATTGGCTTCGTCCAGTTGTCCTGACTTTTTGAGAAATTCGACATTGACATTAGATGAAGACGAGGATGAAGTAAGTTCGTTTACTGTACTACACATCCAAAATCATAATTATAAAAGAGTTAAATTAATAATTTTGAAAGTACTAAAATCTCCTGCAGAATAGTGCTGCACAATCGTATAAAAAATTTTGTTCCACTGTTTTCATTGTATTTGTACGTTTTTCAAATTTTTATTTTTTTAGGATTGGTATGACGACTATATTGATGTATTCAAGGATCTTACTCATATCTCTCTACTAAACTATCTCCATTTCTTCCTTCTTAGTTTATCTACAATAATAATGAGCATATGGTTTGTAGTGCCGTATTTTTATCTTCCTGTTCATATGAGCCTCACAGGCTATAGCGAAGATGATGCCTCATTTGCTCTATCTTTATTGGGGTTTACTAATATCATCGGCATGGTAAGCATACTAAACATTTTGTAGTAATCAAAAATCAATATTTGTGTTATAAACATATCAATTTTTCTTTTGAAGAAAAATAATTTAAGTAATGAAGCATTTTTTGTCCAACCTTTTGGCAAAGGCTACTAGCAATTAACCTTATAATGTCAAAGGGATTAAATGTCAACTTGTGCTCTATTTTAAAATTCGTATTAATTTCTTTTCAAAAGAATTATAATTTATATCTGACTAGCATTGTCGAAGTAAAGCAAATTTTAAAAATAAAAGATAAATTACCAATATATATATATATATATATATATATATATATATATATATATATATATATATATATATATATATATATATATATATATTGTCAAGAAAAATGGCGCATCCGCCAGAAATTAAAAATGTATTACTGGTTGCCTGCACAACCGCAACATATCCGCCAGAAATTAAAAGACTTTTTCAGACGCCATCTTTTAGTCAAGTCGAGAAGTAAGGGAATCAGACAATAGAATTGTCTGGTATGAAGAAGTACGCTTTCCGAGAATTGGGGAAATTTCGAGAAGCAGTCAATAGAGTATATAAGCCGGAGCCATCGACAACTGAGAAAGTTTTTGAAATTTGAATATACCGCGTGGAAATTGAAAATCGGACAATTTGGTGAAGGAATCTTATAAATAGTTAGTTTGTTGTGTGTTATAAGTTAGTAATTGTGTATAAAGTGAGAAAAATAAATTCGTTAAGTATTTTATTGTGAGTTTAAATTAGTGGACCCACGGAATCCGTAACAATTGGTGTCGGAAGTGCGATTCAAGAGGATTTTAAGAAGAAATTAAGTGGATTGGAAGATTTTTAGACCCAATTAGAGTATTTTTATGGTTGGTACAAGAGAACAAGCGAAGAAAATGGAAGAAGTAAGCAAATTATTGGGCGATTTTATGGAGAATATGAGAAGAGAGAGGCAGAAGAACAAGAAAGACTCCGTAGAGAAAAAGAAGAGGAAAAACTACGACGTCAAGAAGAACAAGACCAACTACAGAAAATGCTTATGGAGAATCAAGAAATTAGACAAGAACGGTTGGAGAAAATTGTAGAAAATCTAGAAGTGCGTCGCCAGAAAGATAAACAAGAAGAACAGGACCGGCTTGAGAAAATTCTGGAAGGCTTAGAGGCGCGTCATCAAAAAGAAAGACAAGAGGAACAGGACCGGATCGAGAAAATTTTACAAGGTTTTGAAGTGCGTCGACAAGAAGAAAAACTTGAAGAGCAGGACCGTATCAAGAAAAGTTTCGAAAAAATGGAAAAAAAGCAACAATCAATGTTGGAAGTACGTTGCCAGGAACAACAGAACCACTTCCAAGAAGCTGTAGAAGATCTGGAGGAGCGCCTTCAGCAGAAGATAGAAAGATTGGAGATGGACCTACAGAAGACCAAGGTACAAGTAAAGACACCTGGCGTTCAAGGAACAGCGAACCTTAAGGCCCCGACCTACGATGGACAAACGACATGGACAATGTACCACCGTCAGTTTGAAGCAGCCGCCGCTGCCAACGGATGGACTGACCAGGAGAAAGCAGCGGCACTTGTCATCGCGCTGCGTGGCCCTGCCCTGGAACTGTTGCAAACTATTCCTGCAGCCCAACAGCAGGAATACCAAACTTTGGTCGCTGCACTGGACAGAAGATATGGCGACCAACATCGACGCCAACTTTACCAGGCCCAGATCAAGACACGCCTGCAGAGGTCCGGAGAGAGTCTGCAGGAATTTGAAGCAGACTTACGTCGGCTGGTACACCGGCATATCCAGAAGCACCGGAAGGGTTTAGGGAGGAACTCGCCGCCCAGTGTTTTATCAGCGGATTGAGGGACAACGAATTACAGAGGGCGCTACAAATATCACGATTTTCTACCAGCAGCGAAGCACTGGTCAGGGCGCTGGAAATAGAAGCTGCTTTTAGCGCCATCCCTAGACCGAAAATAAGATCAGTAACAGTCGAGGAACAGCCCGAGAGTACCCACAGAAGTTTGGAGGAGATGTGTAAAAAGTTCGACAAACTATGTGAGCTACTAATAAACAAAGGGAGTCAACAACACCCAGACAGAGAACCATAGAAGATCCCAGGAAATCAGGTGCTATAGATGTGGCAGGAATGGCCACATCAAACGGGATTGCCGTGTCCAAATGCGATCCCGTTCACCATCCAGAGAACGTAGGCACCAGGAAAACTAAAATCAGTCAATACTAAGGGGCGAGTATTGACTGGGGAGAACAGAGCCCCCAGGATTTTTTCCATTAGAAGTCTAGGAAGAACCGCTGACAGTTTGGTGATTTTTTTGGCGACGGGAAAGTCAATGGAAAGGGAATCCGAATGACAGTGGACACTGGCGCTATGGTATCGTTGGTGCGGGCTAACTCAGTGCAAGGATTAAAGCTGGTGCCTCTGAGAAGAAGAGTGTGTTTACGTACAGTTACGGGGGAAATGGCCGTTGTACGGGGAGAGGCTATCGTCGAACTGAAGTTAGGAAATTTGAAGTTCCAGCATAGGTTTTAGTGGCAGATATTGAAGATGACTTCATCTTGGGCATGGATGTGATTCGTCAACATGGATTTTCGTTCGATCACCAGAGAAATATCCTGAATATCGGAAATGAAGAGTTTATGTTATCTCCAGACGAGGGACCAGGAAGAATGGATGTAAGATCAGCGGAAACTGTGGTGATACCTGGTAATACCGAGAAGATCGTATTCGGTAAAGTGGAGAAAATCGCTGGGTGCTGTGTTGGACTGGTACAAAGTAGCGACAACAAACAAGATAGGTACTTAGTAGGAAAGTCATTGGTGAACACTGACAAGAATATACCGATCAGAATTGCGAATGTTTTCCCGAATTGTGTCAAGATTCAAAAAGGTGACAAGATAGCCATCTGCGAACCTGTAAGAAGTGTCACCCGATGTGATGAAGTGCCGTCAGCTGTTACACAAATGGCATCCAAAGAAACACTAAAACATCTAGAGCAGCCATGGGATCACCTAACATCTGAGGAGAAACAGAAGGCTAAGCAGTTCCTGCTAAAGCATGGCAGTATTTTTGAGAAGAACAACAGTGGAAGAACGGATTTTGTGAAGCACCGGATTAATACTGGTCATGCTCAGCCGATTCGACAACGTCCTAGAAGAGTTCCCCTTTCCAAACAACAAGAAATGGAGACAATGGTAGATAAGATGTTAGAAGAGGGAGTAATCGAAGAATCATCAAGTCCATGGTCATCTCCCGTTGTTTTGGTGACGAAGAAAGATGGTAGTACACGATTCTGCGTGGACTATAGGAAGCTCAATGACGTCACTAAGAAAGATAGCTACCCACTGCCACGTATAGATGATACATTAACAACTCTGGCAGGTTCGTGCTGGTTCTCCACTCTCGACTTAAAGAGTGGATACTGGCAAGTTGGTCTGGACGAGGACGATAAAGAAAAGACGGCTTTTTCTACAGGGAAGCGGCCTATACCAATTCAAAGGTTATGCCATTTGGATTATGCAATGCTCCAGCCACTTTCGAACGTCTCATGGAGGTGGTGTTAAGAGGATTAACTTGGAAAACGTGCTTGGTTTACCTCGACGATGTATTGGTTATGGGAAGAACTTTGAGGAGCATTTGCGAAATTTAGAAGAAGTCTTTGGCCGCATACGGAATGCTCACCTGTACTTGAACCCGAAGTGTAGCTTATTCCAGCGACAAGTGGAATTCTTGGGTCATGTAGTCTCGGCAGACGGAATTTACACCGACCAGAAGAAAATCGCTGCGATCAAGGATTGGCCTAAACCTCGCGACAAACATGAACTTAGAAGTTTTCTGGGTTTATGCACCTATTACAGAAGATTTGTCAAGGGATTTGCCAATATAGCTGCACCCTTACATAGACTTACAGGTGATGAAGTCGGCTACGAATGGAACACCGATTGTGATGTAGCCTTTGGAAGACTTAAGGCGGCTTTATGTTCAAGTCCTATTCTAGCCTACCCGCAACAACAAGGGAGGTATATCCTGGATACCGACGCCAGCAATATCGGCATAGGTGCAGTGCTATCACAAGTGCAAGATGGCGAAGAACGAGTGATAGAATATTACAGTCGAGTTCTATCCAAACCAGAAAGGAATTACTGCGTTACCCGGAAGGAGCTGCTAGCAATTGTGAAGGCAGTTGATCATTTTCATAAATATCTGTACGGCCAAGAATTTTTAATTAGGACAGATCATGCGGCTCTCAAGTGGCTTATGGAGATGAAACAACCTGAAGGTCAAATAGCACGATGGCTCGAGAAGCTCCAACAGTATCACTTTACCATCCAACATCGTGCTGGAAAAATGCATGGTAACGCAGACGGTTTATCCAGAAGACCCTGTCAAACCGATTGTAAGCACTGCTGTAAAACGGAACAACGTGAAGGCACTGTCATGATAAGGAGTTTTAAACTTGGAACCGATGAACAGTGGACGACGACACAATTGAGGAAAGATCAAATGGAAGATCCAGACATCGGAGCAATACTACGGCTCAAGGAAGGTAACGGCGAGAGACCACCGTGGCAGGATATTCAAACAGAGGGCTCGTTTTCAAAGCTCTCTGGGCTCAGTGGAATTCACTGGTGATTGAGAATGGATTGTTAAAGCGCACGTGGGAAAGTGCGGATGGCAGGACAGTAACAACTCAGTTACTGGTACCAAGGAAGAAAGTTACCCAGGTATTGGAAGAAATTCACGGTGGTAAAACTGGAGCCCATCTGGGAATAAACAAGACCTTGAGCAAGCTGAGAGATCGTTTTTACTGGATGGATTATTGCGAAGATGTCAAGAAATGGTGTCGACAATGTAAAATTTGTGCAGCCAGCCAAGGACCAAGCACTCGATCTAGGGGAAAAATTAAACAATATAACGTTGGACTGCCATTCGAAAGAATCGCTGTTGATATTGCAGGCCCATTCCCTGAAACGCACAAGGGCAACAAGTACGTTTTAGTGGCGATGGATTATTTCAGTAAATGGCCAGAAGTTTTTGCCATTCCAAACCAAGAAGCATCGACTGTAGCTGAAGTATTAGTCAATAATGTCTTAGTAGATTTGGAATTCCTTTAGAGCTTCACACTGACCAAGGAAGGAACTTCGAGTCAAGACTGTTCCAGAAGATGTGTGATCTGCTTGGTATTCACAAGACTAGGACAACAGCTTTACATCCGCAGTCTGATGGGATGGTCGAGAGATTCAATAAGACCATTGAAGAACATCTCTCGAAAATGGTGGATGAACATCAAAGAGATTGGGATCAGCATATACCACTATTCCTAATGGCATATAGAAGTGCAGTTCACAACACCACCGGACTTTCACCATCGAAGATTTTATTTGGTCGAGAATTACGGTTGCCTTGTGACTTGGTGTTCGGATCACCAGACGACAGCACCACGAACGTAGAGGACTACGCGGATGAACTGAAGGAAAGGTTATTGGGAATTCATAAGGCCGTGAGAAGTAAGATTACGCTAGCCAGTGACCGGATGAAAGCTCGTTACGACCTCAGAGCTAATTCTACGGGATTTCAACAGGACGATATGGTATGGTTATATAACCCACAGCGCAAGAAAGGGAGGTCCCCAAAGTTAACTCCAGCATGGGAAGGTCCTTATACAGTCATCAAGAGGATAAATGATGTTGTGTACCGGATTCAACGCAGCCCTAGAAGTAAGATGAAAGTAGTTCATCTGGATCGATTGAGAGATACCAGACAGGAAACCTTGATCGGGACGATCAAATTTGAGAAGGGGCAATGTCAAGAAAAATGGCGCATCCGCCAGAAATTAAAATGTATTACTGGTTGCCTGCACAACCGCAACATATCCGCCAGAAATTAAAAGACTTTTCAGGCGCCATCTTTTAGTCAAGTCGAGAAGTAAAGGGAATCAGACAATAGAATTGTCTGGTATGAAGAAGAACGCTTTCCGAGAATTGGGGAAATTTCGAGAAGCAGTCAATAGAGTATATAAGCCGGAGCCATCGACAACTGAGACAGTTTTTTGAAATTTGAATATACCGCGTGGAAATTGAAAATCGGACAATTTGGTGAAGGAATCTTATAAATAGTTAGTTTGTTTGTGTGTTATAAGTTAGTAATTGTGTATAAAGTGAGAGAAAATAAATTCGTTAAGTATTTTATCGTGAGTTTAAATTAGTGGACCCACGGAATCCGTAACAATATATATATATATATATATATATATATATATATATATATATATATATATATATATATATATATATATATATATATATATATATATATATATATATTGTGTATAAAGTGAGAAAATAAATTCGTTAAGTATTTTATCGTGAGTTTAAATTAGTGGACCCACGGAATCCGTAACAATATATATATATATATATATATATATATATATATTGAATTATTTTAATATAATTATTTGAAACGTAATAGTTAGTTATTTAGTTAATTCATTAAGTAACTTCTATGTAGAGAAAAAACGTTCGCTATTACCCTTAACAAAAAAGCAAAATTTCAGCTATACTTATTTGCAGAACTGAATGTCATATTTGATGTTTGTATATTACAAAATATATTTTGATTTGCCTAAGAACTTTGACTTTGGTCTTGCTCAATGGTGCAAATTGCAAAATTGAAAATACTAAAAAAATAAACAAAAACTATGATAAATAAAAGCTATGATTCCTTTTTAGGTTTTGCTATATAGAAATAATACATACATACATAGAAATAATATAATCAATATCAACGACAAAATTGGAAAACGTGTAGCAGTTTTAAATTATCAATAACAGTTACTGTTTCTAAGATCAATCTCCCAAAATTTTTCCCTTTAAAATGTTGAATTAGAGTATCGTAATAGAGTATTGCCAATTTGAGATATACAGGGTTGTTCACCCCATACGACACGGAGTATTGTAGCTAGATTAGATTTTTACAAATTGTATAATTGTGTTAGTGTTTACAATTGTTTTGGATTCGTTGAAGGACTATTAGAGCTACAATTTTAAAATATTTTTACAAGATACAGAGTGTCCCAAATAAGTTAAAAATATTAAAGTTGTATTTTTTTTAAATCGAACACCCTGTATATTATTATATTTTTAAATTCTACGATTAAAATAAAGGTAAATTTGATTAAGGTATATCACACTTAAACTTTACCGTTTTTGAAATATTTTCAATTTTATGAAATTGCAGTAAAATGGGCTGGCTTCGTTTCTCTAAGGGCATCGAAGATTTCAATACTAAATAATTATTGAAGTTTATTTATTGATCAGATATTATGTTACAATAATTATCAAAATACTACCTTATACAGGGTGTCTAAAAATTTATATTAAATAATTATTAGCTTTAAACGGCAATAACTTGTTTAATTTAAATGGAACACCCTGTATATTTTATAAGAATCAGATGCTGCACAATTTAATTGTCTATCAAATTGTATTATACCATTTTTTACCTAACTCTTCAAGTTTTCGTAGAAGTAGCATTTTCTTGTAATTTAGACCTCATTTATAAAAACGAATCTACGAAAACTTGAAGAAATAGGTAAAAAATAGTATAATACAATTTGATAGACAATTAAATTGTGCATCTGATTCGCGTAAAATATACAGGATGTTCCATTTAAATTAAACAAATTATTGCCGTTGAAAGCTAGTAATTATTTAATATAATTTTTTTAACACGCTGTATAAGGTAATATAATTTTTATTATTGTATAATATTTAATAATTTGATTTGATCAATAAGTAATCTTCAGTAAATATTTAGTATTAAAACCTTTGGAGAAATAAAGCCATAAATTTTTTACTGCAATTTAACAAAATTGAAAATATTTCAAAAACGGTAAGGTTTTAATGCGATAAACCTTAATGAAATTTACCTTTATTTTAATCGTAGAATCTAAAAATAGAATAATATATAGGGTGTTCCATTTAGAAAATACAACAATAATATTTTTTACTTATTTGGGACACTTTGTATGTTCTAAAATTATTTTTAAATTGTAGATCTAGTAGTCCTTCAACGAACCCAAAACTTACAATTTGTAAAAATCTAATCGTTTAGCCACAATACTCCGTGTCGTATGTTGTGAACAACCCTGTATATTATATATTAGAAAAAAAAACATCTCTTGAGAAAATCTAAAAAAGTACTAGTGGTCTCATGTTCTTACTACATTTAACGGAATAATATACATAAAAATTATAATAACTAGTTATATTTATTTTATTTTGATTATAGGTAGCTCTTGCTATTATTGGGGATAGACTAAATGCAGCCAAAATGTACGCAGTGTGTTTAATCTGTTGTGGATTAACTTGCGCTGGTATGATGATCTTTAGTGAGAATTATACTCTTCTACTTCTAGTCTGTGGATTGTTTGGACTATTTACTTCCAGTTGCTATTCATTGCATCCCTGTATATTAGCTGACCTGGTACCACTAGAAAATTTCACTATGGCTTATGGTTTATCTTTGCTATGCCAAGGAATTGGAAATCTAGCTGGCCCACCTACAGCAGGTAGGTGTATATGTAGAAATGTTATTTAAAACACTAAACATGTTTGTGATAATTTATTTATTTACAATTTTATTAATCTTTATAGAAAAAAGCTTAAAATGTAGCGGGTTTCTTTAAATCATCAGTTTTAACCCATTTTATGTAAAGATTATTGTTAATGCTACTTTTTCTTTGTTATAGGTATACAGGGTTGTTCACCACATACGACACGGAGTATTGTAGCTAAACGATTATATTTTTACAAATTTCATGTATTGGGTTCGATGAAGGACTATTAGAGGTACAATTAAAAATAATTTGACAAGATACAGAGTGTCCCAAATAAAAAATATCAAAGTTGTATTTTTTTAAATGGAACACCCTGTATATTATTATATTTTTAGTTTCTACGATTAAAATAAAGGTAAATTTGATTAAGGTTTATTATACTTAAATCTTACCGTTTTTGAAATATTTTCAATTTTGGGAAATTGCAGTAAAAATTTCAAGGCTTCATTTCTCCAAGGGTAGCAAAGTTTTTAATACTAAATATTTACTGAAGTTTATTTATTGATCAGTTATTGTGTTGCAATAATAAAAATAATACTACCTTATACAGAGTGTCTAAAAATTTATTTAAAATAATTTCTAGCTTTAAACGCCAATAACTTCTTTAATTTAAATGGAACGCCCTGTATATTTTAGGAGAATCAGATGCCATTTCTTACCTATCCCTTCAAATTTTCTTAGAAAATGCATTTTCTTATAATTTAGACCCTATTTATCAATATACCCATGGAATATTGACATTTTAGATTGTTTTTAAAGCAACAAATGTACAAAATGTACAGGCTAGTAATATTATCGTTTTTAGCAAAACGATAATATTACTAACCGATATGCTCAAAAAAAACTATTTAAATCTTTTTAATTTAATTTATAAAAGAGTATACCATAATTAAATATAACACCATTATTTCCGCCCATATACTAATTAATTACATACTTAATTGTGTTCGTTAATAAATTATTCTAAATAAATGTGGATTTGAGTCAGAAATCAATATAATAATAAGTTATCAAATTAAAGTCTCTGTTGTTATAAATAAGTATTTATTAAAAAATGAAATATCATTTTTAAGGTGTTTCTTTTTATCACACTGTCTAATACCCATACAAAATTCAATTTTTTAGTATTTGGAGCAATTATTATTAATCAACGCAAACAGTCAGTTAATGTAGTTTGAATACTGGAATCATATTAATTGGTCCCCTTTAACAAATATTTAAACAGTTTTTTTATTTTTTAATAAAATAAACAAATTATATCGACAATATTAGTATCTGTACTCTTTAAAAATTTGGTACATCTTTAAAAATAATCTAAAATGTCAATATTCCATGGGTATATTGATAAATAAGTTCTAAATTACAAGAAAATGCATTTTCTACGGAAACTTAAAGAGATAGGTAAAAAATGGTATTATATAATTTGATAGACAATTAAATTGTGCATCTGATTCTCGTAAAATATACAAGGTGTTCCGTTTAAATTAAACAAGTTATTGCCGTTTGAAGCTAATAACTATTTAAAATAAATTTTTAGGCACTCTGTATAAGGTAGTATTATTTTTATTATTGCAACAAAATAACTGATCAATAAATAAACTTCAGTAAATATTTAGTATTAAAAACTTTGATACCCTTGGAGAAATGAAGCCTTAAAATTTTTACTGCAATTTCACAAAATTGAAAATATTTCAGAAACGGTAAGGTTTAAGTATAATAAACCTTAATCAAATTTACCTTTATTTTAATCGTAGAAACTAAAAATAAAATAATATACAGGGTGTTCCATTTAAAAAAATACAACTTTGATATTTTTTACTTATTTGGGACACTCTGTATCTTGTAAAATTATTTTTAAATTGTACCTCTAATAGTCCTTCATCGAACCCAAAACTTACAATTTGTAAAAATCTCATCGTTTAGCTACAATACTCCGTGTCGTATGTGGTGAACAACCCTGTATAATTTCTTGACATTTGGTGACTTTATTTATTTATTAGTTGAAAGAATATATGGTTGCCTGCCATCAATCTTAATAAGTTCTATCAATAATTCTGATTTTATTATCACATCTAGATAAATAGTAACTTTAGCTAATATATACTGGAATATTTATTATTTATGAATATTTTATTAATTCATTCTGATACAATACGTACATCATATTCGTCTCATCTCATAAAAATTATTATAAAAAAATAATAAATAATTTTTAAGTTGCAGTTTTAGCCCTAGAAATAATTCAAGTAATACCAAATAAAAAAAATCAATAGACCATATGACCATATAGGCATTATTAAAAAATGTGCGTATTCTAAAGAGACTATCAAAATATTTTTAATGCAAGTTAAAATAAATTAAGTCCAAAATTAAAATTTATTTTTAATAGTATAAATTTTTGTTATTCTAGGTCTTCTATACGATATTACCCAGTCATACGCACAATCTTTCTACCAGGCAGGGTTTTGGGTCATCATTTCTGGAGTTTTAGTTGGTATAATACCTTATACCGAAAATAGGAAGATCTTTAGCAATTTGTAAATTGTAAAACATTATTTATTATTAAATTTGAAATATTATATATGAAGTCTTTAATTTTGTATTTCTATAATGGGTGGGGGGAACATGTGTTCATCATAAGATTAACAAAAAATATATTCTAAGATATAATCCGTTGAATTTTGCTAACAAAATCTTCTGAGATAATATTTATGCTTTGGTGAATTACAAGTAATTTTAGTATTGCAATACATTTGTCGACATACGTTATCAATATAACGTCTCATATAAGAAATTAGTTTGAACTTTCCTAAAAATCACGTGTTTTTTACGTCATTATTATACTTTTTAAAAATTAAATTTCATTGTCAACTTAAAATAACAATTATTGATAACGAATAGAAAATTTATCAAAAGCACTTTAAATTATAATTTGTTCGGAATAAGAACTTTAAATTAAAAAATTGAATCTATATGTTAATAGTCAAGATAGCAAAATATTTAGTTAATTACATCACTTATTATGTTATACAGGGTGAGTTTCCTACGATGTTCTCTATGGGTATCTCGGAAAATACTGGAGATAGAGAGTTGGTTCAATGGGGAAAGAATTGCAGTTCTGTGGGGTCATAAATATGCGCCTTTCAGATTTTTGAGAAAGTTCATGGCTTACTAGATATTTCGAAAAAAACAAATTTCGGCTATTTTAAAAATTGTCCCTAATTCCATTATAAGCTATTTTAGACAAAATTTTTCAGATAAAAGTTGTAGATTTAATAAAATAAAAAATTAAAAATATGTTTTCTTTCTCTAAAGTCTGTCATTTTTGATATATCACACAAACATATGTTTTTTTAAATGGAAACCATTAATCATAGTTGGCTATGACTTCATAAAAAAGGCCATTTTTTAAGCTTTTCAGCGATATAAGCTATAATTGCTATAATGTTTTATTCGAAAAATTACTGAGTTATAGCCAAGTCTTATAATTTTTAAACAATTTCACTTAGTTAGTCACGGAAACAAGTTTAATCGTCTTTACTCTCAGAAATGTGAAGCTGTCACATCCAAACTTTTGGTAAATTTAAATAAACAAAAATTGCAAATATTAATCTTTCAAATGAAGAAAAGCGTATAAGATTATTGGTTCAACTTTTCTTGACCATACATTTTCGAATATATAAGATACGTTGACCAAAGTTTGGACAGCTTCACATTTCTGAGAGCAGCGGCGATTGAACTTGTTTCCATGACTAACTAAGTGAAATTGTTTATGATTATGATAAGAATGAATGTTATGATAAGAATTGGCTATAACTCGTAATTTTTCGGAAAAAACATATTATAGCTTATATCGCTAAAAAGCTAAAAAAGGCTAAAAGAGCTTTTTTTGAAGTCATGGCCAACTATGGTTTTTATTTAAAAAAAAAACATATGTTTGTATCATATATCAAAAATGACAGGCTTTAGAAAAAAGCGGTGGACATAGTCTCATTAAGGATATGATTATCTACAACTTTTATCTGAAAACTTTTTGTCTAAAATAGATTATAATGGAATTAGGAACAATTTTTAAAATAGACGAGATTTGTTTTCTTCGAAATATCTAGTAAGCCATAAACTTTTTCAAAAATCTGAAAGACGCATATTTATGACCCCACAAAACTGCAATTCTTTCCTCATTTAACCGACTCTCTATCTCCAGTAGTTTCCGAGATACCCATAGAGAACATCGTAGGAAACTCACCCTGTATACCATATAGTAGAAACACTATAAACAGATAACTTGAGATTTTTTTACTAACACAAAAACTAAACAAATAATATAATCGCTTTTCATACATGTATTTTGGAGTAGGAAAGTAAGCTTCATATACAAAAACTAAATATGTTGAAACCAACACTGAGAAGATGGAAGATAGATGGCCCAACACTACGTTTAAACCTTCCGTGTATTATAGATACTAATTTAAGTCAGAGTCGACCTAGGGACCCAAACACTTTTTCATTAAAAAAATTCACAGTCCTTTACAAAGATGCAACCGGAGGGGCATTGAAAATGATGAATAAAAACGTAAAAATATGATTAGTGTTAATATGAGTGTATTACATACATATGTTTAAATAACGAACTTACCAAACACAACAGATTTAAATATTCACTGAAAAAGTAGTAGTATTAACATTAAATAAAACATTGTCAATAATAATTATGCGATCGCACCTATCCGTAAAACAAGCAAGCAAAAAAACCTCGATAAAAACAAAATAACATACAAAACATCAGGTTAACATGATGACAAATCATGATCAATGACAGATAAAGAATTCTTACGGAAAGTTACACTTTACGATATAATTTTTTAACTGTTAAAGGCAAACCCCATTTAAACACAAAACTTTTTAATACCTACTACTGTATCTAAAAGATATTTTTTTTTAAATTACTAAATTCTTAGCCACGCTTCTGTTTTTCTTGGCTGTTGTGCGTCACGTAACAGATTAAGAGGCCCACGTTTGCACCACAAGGCGATGCTGCAGACCACTAGGTAGACCGGTCGTAGAAATTTATGTTATACAACTTGTAGTCAATCTACACAAACATTTCGTTATCAAAAGCTTTTTTCTTTTAAAATGTGTTCAGATTTTATAAAAAGTATAAGTCAAAATCGCAAAACTTAAATTTGATATGAGTTTCTTAGTTTTTAACTAATATAGTGGCGAATTACAAAAATTCCTTTTCAATGAAAATCAGTTAAATAAAATAATTTAATAAATTACTTTTTCCCGCGACTACGTTCGCGTTACACCTTGAATCGTTCATGCATTGATTTAAATGATTTTTTACTTCTTTATAGAGAGCTAGTGAACATAGATGTTTTTTATTTTTCATCTTTTTTTTTATTTATTAAGAGCACTAATACTCTCTTTATAGGTTATTTATTATTCTTTGAAGGATAATTGAGGAAGATATATTTCCTTATGATGTCACTAAATAAACCCTTGTATAAAATTTTATACTGTCTGGTTTATAATGTTATAGTATTGCATTTTCGTACAGCAAACTTTCATTCCCTATTCTACTCCCTAAGTGTATAAATTTCATAAATTCGCTTTATCTTTGTGTCAATTTTTATGTGTATAATCCAGAGGTCACCAAGTTTTATATAAATTTTTACTAACTTTACCCATTTGGTTAATGAATTTCAAAAATTTCTTCTAATTCTTTTTGTAGGATTTCATTCTTCTAGACCAAATAGTAAGAAATTTTCATACAACAAACTGTTCCGACATAATTTTACTCTCTAAGAGGATGAATTCCTAAAATCGCTTTGTGTAGCTAATTCACTAATGTCGTTTAAAGGAACTTTTGTGCTAATATTTATGTACCTGAAGCTGGCGGCATGAACTCACTCTAAAATATCTAAAAACGTAATATATAATCTAACTGACACACCACTGACAATGACAAATAATTTCTTTCTGGAGGTATTGTGTGTATGTGTTTTTCAGGTATGTTTTAGTATTTAGTCGTTTTACACAAAGAAATAGCCATTAAGCACTATAAAAATACTTCATAACAAATCTACACATATATACCTTTCATTTAAAAAAAAAAGGATCATCAAGATTGGTAAAGCGGTTTCGGCGGGATGGATGCAACAAAAAAACCCTTTGAGCTTTTATATATGTATGGATTAATTATTTTTCCAACATATTTTACTTTGCAAATTTTTATAAATATTCAGACTCGCCAATATCGTACTCCACCGTGTCCAGCCTGTTTAGCCAAACATAGGCCGATTCCTCTTCGGCGGCGCGTGACCCTGGCCGAAGGAAGAGTCTTGAAGACGCTCATCCGCGCATAGGAATAAGTTGACTGCGTAGCGTATTGCGTATTAATCGATTCTGAAACTTTCTATCTCGTGTATAACATGTTACGCAAGTTTATTATTTTAATCTCGATTTTAATAGATAAATGTGTGAAATGCCACCTGAATATCTTCCGCCATGACATGTTTTTACTTTTTTGTTATGGTAAAGTGATTTGTATAAACTTTATTCAATAACGTATATTTTCCTCCATTTGTGATTTTTTAATTTTAAGCGAAAATTAAGTATAACATTTTAGGAAAAAGAAACACTGTAATATTTAAAAGAATAAGAAGAAATTAGTCTTATTTTGAAAGGAAAATATAGAAAAAACTCTTTCTATAGAAAAAGTCTTTATACTAACCAGAATCCGGTGACATATACGCGGTCTCACCGGAAACATTACTTATTACTTCGCATAACTTGAAGAATATCTACTTTTAATAATGAACACTTCAGAAATACACCAGTAAAAACATTTATTATTTGAGATTAAAACTCGAATTAAATTATAAATATTAGTTACCTATGTTGTTATAGCTTTTATAGGCCTGTTTAACGACTTAATAAGTTACCTAGCGAAAAAATCTGTGCGCGTACCTACCACTATTGTTACAGGTTAATTCGTTAAAGAAATATGTTACACAAGTTAAAAACGCTAAAATTTTAATGGTATTACTTGTGCATTATTGGCCTTATAATGTAATTTGTTGGAATTATATCTTCTTTAAATATAATTAGACTTTTTAACGACTTTTAAGTTACCTAGGAAAAAATCTGTGCACGTACCTACCAGTATTGTTACAGGTTAATTCGTGAAACAAATGTGTTACATATTATTCGTGGTATTAGTGGTATTATATTGGAATCAGCTTGGCATTAGTGGGGCATTATATGAGAAATTTTGGTATTTAATTTGTATTTTTGGCATTACTTTGGCATTAGTATACAGACATTTGTCAGCGGTTTACTCCTTGTAGATAATCAAAAAGTTTTTTGATAAAATTTGCTTTTCATGTCAGATCATTTCTATGAAAAATTACATTAGATTTTTATTAAAGACGCTGGGTAATTAAAACATTGACTAATAAACCTTGTCCACTTTAAATACGGGGTCACGAAATATCCTCCTTGGAGTGTTTGGGTTAAGGGGTGTATAATAAATTAATCGTTGTTTTATAATAAAAACCATAAAACATTTATTTGTGA